ATCAATGAGCGCCTTCAATTTTTTAAGGTTATCAATTCCTAACAACCCATTGAAGGTTTCGTGAAACTTAAATAGATGGAATGAAAGATTTTCATTATTTTGGAATTCACTGAAGCTTGGGATGTTGCATGCAAAATTTTCTGTGTGCGTTGATAGAGCTGTTTTTATTGTACAGGGGTCAAAATAAATGGAACTTTTGAAATATCTATTAGCAATCTCTGGGCAAATAAATGATTTCGTTGAGCCTGAATCAATTAAAATTTTTAGGTCTGGATTTCTTATTTGAATATAAGGAAGAGAATAATTTTGAAAACTGTGAAATTCAACTATGTTTGATTTTGTCGTTGTTCGTCCGTTTGAAAATCCACATGTGGTTCGTCAGAGTATGAATCTTGTTCTAAATCAATGTTTTCTAAATTGTAGAGTCTGTTATGTCGTTGTTTGTTATTTGCGGAATTAATAGTTGATACACCACTCATAGGTGTCCAGTCAGAACCTTTTGTTGTATTGTTCGTTTGATTTGGAAATGGGGAATTTTGTTGGTTAGGTCTTAATGGTTGTTGAGTCATTTGGTTTGTTTGAAAGTTATTTGATTGGAAGCTATTTGGTTGGAAGTTATTTGTTTGGAAATTATTTGGTTGGGACATTTGTGGATTATAAAAATGTGGTTGGAAATGATGTTGTCTCTTATAATTTGGAATTACCGTATTTGAATTTCTAGGAAGTGCAAAATTGGGGACGTTTTTCTGATAACTTTGTGGTTTACTATTTCTTTTACTATTGTATCTAAAATGGTCTGAGTCATCTCTAACACTACTAACATAGTCGTCCTTTTCTATAATCCTTAAAGCTTCTTCTAATGACGAAACGTTACGATTTCTGAGAAGTGAACTATATGGCTGTTTAACATGTGCTATGAATACGGCCAAGGCACTTTTTTGGAAGTTGTTGCATCTATCTAGGATGATTTCTTTGTTTGTAAGGTGTAAGTATATATAATTATTATAAATTGTAATCAAATTTTGAAATCTTTCATAGAACTGATAAACGGTTTCATTTGGTAATTGTCTCATATGATGGAGATCAAAAGTTAAAGATATATCATCTCTACGGTCTGAAAATTTTGATATTAGTACCCTAACTATATCATCTATTTCTCTAGCATTGGCAATTTCTATAGCATATTTAGCATTGTCATATAGTTTCGAAAAAACTGCGCTCCTAATAATTTCGTTTTGTATACAAGTCGGATTACTACTGTCATGATATCTACTCTTGATTTCCCTAACTCTTGAAATAAATGAATTTAGTTCTGCGGGGTTACCGCCAAAACTTGGGATAGTGTCGATCAATATATGATCAAATTTGGGGATGTTTTGAATGGACATATTTGCTAATGAGTTTGCTAAGTTCTCTATAAAATCAATACCAATTTCCATAAACTAATTCGCGTACGTGGAATTATGTTTCAATGGAATGCAAAAATAAAATAAATTTGTATATATATTATTTAATCAATTAATTAATTAAGAAAAATTTAAACTGTAAAAATTGCTTTCTTATCTCCAGCGATTGAAGGATAAGGGAGGATGGCAATTTTACTATCAATTAAAATTTTCACTCACCAGTTCCAGATGTTTCGGCGAATTTCCTCTTCGCACTTTTTTCACACAATATATTTTTTTTACTTGCACTTTTGCACACTATGAATTACAATCACCTTTGAATTGATTGGAAATCCTGCGATAGGCCTTTCCGAATTCAATCCTATTGATTTTTCTATCACTTTTACTAATTATTGGTTCTGAATTCTGAATGATTGAAATCAATGGATATCTGCGATAGACGATCCCGAATTCAATCCTACCGATTTTTCTATCACTTTTACTAATTATTGGTTCTGAATTCTAAATGATTGAAATCAATGGATATCTGCGATAGACGATCCCGAATTCAATCCTACCGACTGCGCCAATTTTATACTCGTTATTCGAGAATAAAATAAAAAAAACTTTATTTCTTATAATTACAATAAAATATATAAAATAACTGAATTTTACAATATAATGATATAATGAATTAAAATTATATAACTGGACTGGTGTAAGTACTGGCAAAGATTATCCTCCTCGAATGTAGAGATCTTGCTACTTATATAGTTAAAAATATGCTTTATCAGCAAGGAGGATCTTGTGGCTAGATATAAGCTATGTCAGCGGGATGGATCCCGTAACTCCATTGAGCATACTCACTCACCACAGCCTTATGAGACTGGTTCGAAGCCATTCGTAACATCATCTCCTTTGTCAATCGAATCTTTGTCATCTCCCTGACAAAAACTGCTTCAGAAATTGAATCTAGCAGGGTAAAAATGTCAGAATTATAAAAAATATATTTGTACTAGTAACATAATAATTCGAATACCATGCGGTATACAGAAAGCTTTAATTACCATTGTTGATATGTTTCTTTTTAATCTGTTTGCTGCAGTTTGCTTGCTGAATAAAATATCATCAATTTTTCATCGACTTCCTCCCTTTCATCACTTCCGAATTGTGCTTTATCATTAATATTTTGTACGATATTTTCATCGGTAGTCGCATGTAACAAAAGCGTTATCAATATCAGCATTCTTTCCATATTTCCGGTGTTGTTGCTGAATCTACATTTGGTTTTTTTTTTGACCCCAAAGATAAAGGCACATCATATTCTTCGACAAATTTATTTTCTAGAATTTGAATTGGTGAATCGTCGTTACTTTTAATTAGTTCTGAATGTCTAAAACAATTATGAATGGTATATTGTTGCAATTTATTACTGGCATTATCGACACTTTTTTTGCTTTTGCTTTACATCACTTGGTCAGGTGCCAGTCGTACAATTGCTTAAATATTATTACACAATTACCTTATAAATTAATCATTGACCATTAAAATTAGATGGGGATTCAGAAATGGGTTTTCATATCAAAATCATGTAAGTGGGGGATATACTTTAGGTTGGCCATGAAGGTTTTTATGTCTTGGTAGCTACTAGCAAATAATTTATTTGCTCCTTTTAGATTTTGATTTAACTCATTCAATTTAGATGTGATGTCTATTAAAAAAACACAAATCCAGCTACCACTTTTCATCATATAATTTTGGAACTTTTTTGCCATTTTTACTCATAACAATTCGTATCTTTTCTTTGACGTTCCAAAATCTTGATAGAGCTTTTCCACGACTCGACCATCTAATTTTGGCATAATTTAGTAAATCATAATATTCTGACTCAAGTTTACGAAGATATTCTGGGAACTGCCGGTGTCTTAATGAATTAATTTTTATCTTGTTAATAATATTGATAACAGCCGACTTCAGTTTTGTAAATGTAGAAAACAATTGCAAATAAAAAAAATTCAACGACGTATTTTGATCCACGCTTTCAATAAGCTTGCACAGCAGAGATAAGTGCTCCAATATTCTTCCCTATTGCTCCATCTATCGTTATACCAACAAAAATTTTTAGGTCTAAATGTCGATTTTACATGCATTTTAAAACCGCATCTTTAATATCTCTACCCGTTGTTGTATCCTTGAGACAAACAAGATCGAGAAGTTTTGAATTTACATTGAGCTTCAATTAAGATTATCAACTCCCCGAATAAAGGTTGCAAGTTGTGATGTGTCGTTTTGAAAATTGAAATGTGTCGTGAAGAAAATTTTGGTTGAAACATCATCAACTCTTTGTGTGATTGTTTGATGCGATAAACGTATTTGCTTGTATATTTGAATCTTTTCCGGATCAATTTCTTCTGCTACAGCAATTAAACACTCTTTTGTGTATTCTCCATCTGAAAACGGTTGCAATTTTTTGCAATGATTTAAGAGATTTTAAAACTTGCGCTGACAACGTCATTTGAATTTTGACTTTGTTTCTGAAATATATTTTGTTGAGATTTCAAGTTAAACTTCAGCAGGAATAATTTGGTCTTCCGTTCATCACCAGAAAGTACAGAAAGTTTCGTATGTTTTTCATAATGTACTTGTAGGTTATAAATTTTAGAAAGAATCGTTTCACGACAAAATAAGCACACAGCATTATTTTTATTTGTATGAAAAAGTAGTCATTTTCCCAATTACTATTAAATTGCCTGTTTTCATTTTTTAATTTTTTATTGTTATCCGACATTGTACGTCAATATTATGGACAATTTTATTTATTCTGGAATGATTAAAGAAACGAATTAATTTTTTATAGAACTGCTGACTATAATAAAACAATTTGGTACGACAAGTTAATAACATAAATGCACATAAAATATAGGGAATCAGCTTGACTCAGGTTTTCTATATATCAATTTACTTCTTCTATATTTAATGTTATTTTCAACACGTCTCAAAATCAAAAGAACACAAAAAAATATTTACAATCATATTTGAAACATGACGACTACGTGTCATCAGGAAGTTCGCTCCATTACAAGCATGGACTTAGAAATAAAGTTGCCATCATAGAGCCGCTTGTTTGTCGTTGTGCTTTTTATTTGTGGTTGTCATAGGATCAACAGTCAACAGTTATCTTATCTCAATTGAATTAATTACAGTGAAATACAACACTAAAATAATATTAAGCCTAACATTAGTATTATGTGATGCAATAACTTGAAGAAAATTTTTTATGATATTGGGATAATTTATTAAAGGCTTGTACATCTTGAGATTTTTCTGATGGCTAAAAATTTTTTAAATACCCGTTACGAAACTTTTATTCCCAAATCTGGAAAATAATAATTAAGAGCAGTTTATTAGCATTTTGATCTGGAGCTCTATACACGCAAACAATACAGTATGTAGTAAGAGAAAAATGTGCGCAGATCAGCAAAATCGAAAATAACGCGGACACAAAATTATATTTCAAAATTTGATTCCGAATTGAGTATTTCGGAACTAAACGCGCGTAAGCAGCTTCTCAATGACGCATTTAACAAATATAATGAAGCGCAAGATGAGTTAGAAATGATTAATTTAGATGAATTCGAGGGCGATCGCGACGAGATAGAAACGCAATATTGCAAGATTTTGTCTACAATAGATAATTTATTGGCCGGTTGTAGACAAAGTAATGCAAGCGCGCAGAATGTGTCTGAGTCAGCTTCAGCTAAAGTTCAGCTCCCTCAAATTCATTTGCCGAATTTTGATGGAGAGTTTTCTAAATGGCCGGAATTTAGAGACATGTTTTCGAGTTTAATTATAGAAAATAAATTATTAACGAATTCTCAAAAGTTGCACTATTTAAAAAACTCACTACAAAAAGAAGCCTCCAATTTAATAAAAAATTTATCAATCACAGAAGCGAATTTTCAAATAGCATGGGATACGTTAGTGGGTACCTATGACAATAAATTGATATTAATTAACGCGCAATTAAAAGAAATTGTAAATCAACCGCAAAATAGAGATCATAAGTCACTAAGAAATTTTTTATGCAAATCCCGACAGCACATATCCGCTATCAAAAACGAGAGACTCTCAGTAGAGCTCTCCGATCTTATATTTATATTTATATTAAAGGCAAAACTAGACATGGATACCCAAATGGCGTGGGGTGCATCCATTTCCAAAAACAATCTACCGTCATTAGACGAATTTTTTTCCTTTTTAGAAAAGCGTTGTGCAACTTACGATATGAACCGCGAGCAACGATCAAATATAAACATTCCGGTTCAGAGAATTCATTTCGCTGCACCTATAAAACAGAAATGCCCCTTTTGTAATAAAGAACATTACCTCAATCAATGTGAGGAATTTTTAAAATTACAAATAAATGATCGCGCTGAATTTGTACGAAAGACGCAATTGTGTTTTAACTGCCTTAAATCCTCGCATGTAATATCACAATGTCATAGTAAACGCAGATGTTCGTTTTGCAAAAGGCGTCATAATTCCGTTCTGCATAAATCTGAAGATTCGGTAAATATAGCGAAACCCAGTACAAGCACTATGACTATGATAGCAGAAGCGGAACAAAAACAAACCCTTTTACCCACAGTTCTAGTGCTTGTATCAAACGATAGAACTACAACCACAGCGCGCGCTCTTCTAGACTCTGGTTCACAGATAAATATTATTTCAAAGTCTCTAGCAGAAAATTTAAAATTAACCTATAAGAAAGCAAATATAACGGTTGGCGGGATAGGCGGTATAAATGCCAATGTTTTAGGTTCGGTAACTCTACAAGTCGCATCTAGGATTAGCAATTATACTAAAACTTTAGATTGTACCGTTATGCAAAATATCGCAAATAATTTACCGGGAGTACGCGTTGACATATCAAATTGGGATATACCGAAAAATTGCATATTAGCCGATCCCAATTTCAACTCGCCGGGACAAATAGATTTAATATTAGGTGCAGAAATATTTTTTGAAAGTTTAAAAAATGAGCAAATGAAATTGAAAAACCAAATAACATTATTTAACACTAGTTTTGGTTGGTCATTTTGCGGTCCGGTAGAATATAAGACTTTTTTTGCGCACGTAGGGTTAACAACCGAGGAAAATATAACTGACCAATTAAAACAGTTTTGGAAAATAGAGGAATTAAATGAAAGGTGTATCTTGTCGCAGGAGGAAGTACGAGCAGAAGACATATTTGAACAAAACGTCAGTAGGGATTCAAATGGTAGATTTGAAGTTGCGTTACCATTTAGAAGCGATCCGCGTATTTCTCTTGGGTCCACTTATTCACAAGCGTACAAAAGATTTATGAATTTGGAAAAAAGATTAACAAATAATGGTCTATCTTTGAATGACATACTGCTACCGGGACCGCGTTTACAAAAAGATTTGTTTACCATATTAATTAGATTTAGGACACATAGATATGTATTTACGGCGGACATAGTCAAGATGTTTCGTCAAATTAAAATTAAATCCGAACATCAGGACTACCAGAGAATTTTATGGCGTGAGGCGCCCGGAATGCCTGTAGGATGCTATAAGTTAAATACCGTAACGTATGGCACTAATTGCGCGCCATATTTAGCAATGAAATGCCTTGAAAAGTTAGCTATAGATTATAATGAAATATATTCAAAAGCGTCCAAAATTCTACAGTCAGATTGTTACGTGGACGATATAATATCCGGTGCAGACACTTTACAAGAAGCAAAATTATTAATAACCGAAATTAATGATCTCCTAGCCGAAGGGGGGTTTGAATTGCATAAGTGGTCAAGCAATAATATAGAATTAATTAATGATAAGAATATAGGTGAAAATATAAATGTAGGGTTTGACAAAGAAAAGATAATTAAAACTTTAGGGGTTATATGGCAACCTACATCTGATAATTTTAAAATTTATAACAACGTTTTAGCTATAGACAATATACAAACCAAACGAAAAATTTTAGCATCTATAGCTAGCATATTCGATCCGTTAGGATTCATTACTCCGGTAGTTATAACTTCAAAACTTATTATGCAGCAATTATGGAGAGAAAATAATGATTGGGATGAACCGGTTACGGAAAATTTATTAAAAAGCTGGCAATTATTTTCGAAACAATTAGAGATTTTACAGCAGCTAACAATACCTCGGCAATTGAATCTTTTTAAAACAATAGAAAAACGCTCAATTCACGGTTTCGCGGATGCTTCAATGAAAGCATATGGAGCATGTTTATATTTATGCGTAACCTATCAGGATGGGACATGCTCTTCAAAATTAATATGTTCAAAATCGCGTGTAGCACCGCTGAAACAAATTACCTTACCGCGTCTAGAGTTATGTGCCGCGCTATTGTTAGCTCGCTTATTTAATAAGGTAAGCCATAGTTTAGAATACGTGATAAAAGAAAACGTACTGCGGAGCGATTCCAGTATAACGTTATCATGGCTAAATTCCGAGCCTTGTACGTGGCAAATCTTTGTTGCAAACAGAGTATCGGAAATTCAAAAACTTACATCACACGCCACTTGGAAACATGTTCCTTCCAAAGAGAATCCAGCGGATTTAATAAGTCGCGGAATTACACCGTTAGATTTACAAAATTCAGCTTTATGGTGGAACGGTCCGGATTGGCTCGCAAATTCGAATAATTGGCCAAAAAAGTTTACAATTCCCGATAATATAGAATTGCCAGATAAAAGAAAATCAGTTGTGACACTGGTTGCAACACAGAAACGCTCTTTTCATTTAATTTATAATAAATTCTCAAATTTTACAAAAATGATTAGAGTTGTAGCATATTGTTCTAGATTTATTTTTAATATAAAAAAAATAAATAAAAATAATAAAAAATTAGGTCCGCTCGAAATTTATGAATTAAATGAATCAAAATATACGATTATACGGCAATTACAAAAGGAAGTTTATAATAAAGAATTAACTAAGTTAAATATTAATCAAGACTCGTCCAACGCTTTTGAAAAATCATTGATAAAACTGAATCCGTTTGTAGGTGCGAACGATTTATTGCGAGTGGGCGGGAGACTACGGCGTGCAAATATTCCATACGATCAAATGCACCCGATAATTTTACCAGCAAAGCATCCAATAACAACAATGATTATTAGGCAAGAACATTTGCGTTTACTACATGCAGGAACCCAAACTACTCTCGCTAATATAAGACTTAAATACTGGCCGATAAATGGTAGAAGAGAGGTTAAAAAGGTTATTCATAGTTGCGTCACTTGTTATAAATTCAGAGTAACAACACAAACACAATTGATGTCCGATCTACCACTAAGCAGAATTAATCCAGTAAGACCTTTTTTAAACGTAGGAACCGACTACGCCGGCCCAATTATGCTAAAATCAAGTAGATTGCGCAAGGCTCCCTTAATCAAATCGTACATTGCGCTTTTTATTTGTTTTGTTACCAAGGCGATACATTTAGAGTTAGTAACAAGTTTGTCTACAGATGCATTCATAGCCGCTTTAAGACGTTTTATATCTCGACGAGGTCGCTGCGCCACGATTCATAGTGATAATGGTACAAATTTTGTAGGGGCAAAGCACCATTTACACGAACTTTTTAAATATTTTAAGAATGAACAAGAAAGAAACAAATTAATTGAAGCCGTATCAGTGGAGGGCATCGAATGGAAATTCATTCCAGCTCATGCTCCACACTTTGGCGGTCTTTGGGAAGGGGCTATAAAATTAGTTAAATTGCACATACGCAGAGTAATAGGCAACACAATATTAACATTTGAAGAGTATTACACATTTCTAACCCAAGTAGAAGCCATAGTAAATTCGCGTCCATTGATAGCTGTTTCCGATGACGTTACGGATTGCGGATATTTAAGCCCGGGACACTTTTTAATTAATGATGTGATAGCCTCATTTCCTGAGCCCCAATCAAAATGTAATAATGATATCTTGAAATGTTGGCAAGATGTCAATAACTTAAAACATATGTTTTGGAATCGCTGGTCTACTGAATACTTGTCTCAACTACAAGGACGTAAAAAATGGTATAAAACCAACCCAAATCTTCAGAATGGAACAATAGTTTTAGTGAAAGAGGACCATATACCACCTCTCCAATGGAATATTGCAAAAGTAGTTGAGACAAAAAAGGGACCAGACGATAAAATACGAGTCGCAATAATTAAAACAGCAAAAGGGTTATATACTCGGCCTATCACAAAATTATGCCCACTTCCATTTAATATGTAAAAATAAAGAACGTAATTATAAGATTATTTCAATTTCAAATTTCAAATTATTTAGATATAACATAAGTTTTCAATTTTAATTAAAAAGCAATTAGTTGATAAGTTTTATTTCATTTGATCATAGCATTAAGGAGTAGAATAAATAAAAATGATAGTTTATTAAATTAAAGTTTTAGAAAACATTTTTAATTTTGATCATCACATAATTAATAAGTTTTATATGTTTATTAAGTTTTAATTTAAATCTTAATTTTGATCAAATATCTTAAGATCTGACATAAGCCATGATTGTTGGCGGTTGGGGCCCCAGTATGGAGCGAATTGCTGCTCCAATATTCAAAAACTGCAACAATGTACAAGCAGAAAGCTGTTCGCTTCATACAGGGCAATAAAAAATATTTACCCAAATATTAGGTATAATTTTAAGTAGTACAACTTTAAGCGTCACCAAGAAAGCACATAAAAAGTACCCGCATGACGAGCGAAAGCAGTCAAATTTCTCTTAAGTTTGTTATTATAATTAACCGCCCGACTCGCGAAACCAGTCAAAATTAAGCAAAGATAATATTATGAAATCTTACTAATAAGTGAAATAAATTATTGAATTACAAAGTGTGTTTCAATATAAACCCAAATTTACATTTATGGGAAATGTCCCAAAGTCTGTATACTATATTAATCTTTTTTGTAGGATTACACTTAGTCATTTTGAGATTTATAGGTTTTCTATAAATTTAATTAAATAATATATTTATATTTAACACGTTCACGCCGGGGCCGATTTTCGTTTGTTTTGTTATGAGGCGGCGCTGAAATGAACATCGCGCTTCATCTGGCGGCGCGTGATTATTGCCTATTCAGACCTGCATACGCCTTGTTTGTTGCTCTGCAGTACAGTGAGATCTTATTGTGCAAGTTTTGTAACTTGTGCCGTTTTTTTCATTCTGACCACAAATTTCCGACAGTAAATATAATTAGAAAGGTGATTAGAATGTTTTTTTAATTTTTACCCTTATAAAAAATGGATAACATAGATATGGAAATAAGTGATTCGGATGAATCTATAATTAGAAGCAAGAAAAGAAAAGTGGCAAGATTACGAATAGTTTCTTCCTCTTCAGACGAGGATTTTGTTAATTTTATCAATGAAGAGAACGAGTGTTCATTCAAACAATATTAGATTTTATGTTATTTTAACCGTATTTGAATTTTTTGTATAATACTGTATTATTATGTTTGTTATTGAACAAAACTTATAGTTCTGATACATTTTTGATTATAATTATTATTAAAAATAAATGTTTTTAATGACAGTTTAGTGTGGGTCACCGGTGACCCGCGCCGCCCGATGAGACAGTTTAGTGTGGGCCACCGGTGACCCGCGCCGCCCGATGAGACAGTTTAGTGTGGGTCACCGGTGACCCGCGCCGGTGCGAACGTGTTGAGACGTGTAGACCCTACGACGGTCCGAGGCGAAATTAAATTCAATCATATTATACTATTTATATTTAATAAATATATATTTAATGACTATACTATTTAATTTTATTTATATTTAATAACTATACTATTAATATTTAATAAAAATAAACTTTAATAATCTCACAAATATATTTTGTTTACTACACTTTTCACTAATTCAATCAATTCACTATTGGCAATATAAAAATACATAATATTTATGAATTTATTTAGCAGATAATAATATACAATCATAAAGGACTACTATAAAAACTAGGAAAGGCAATACCGATAAAAATTTAAATACCGGTATTTCGATATTTTCGACTTTTAAAACAGGTAAACCGGTATTAATATTTTTTTTAAATGTGAACATAATTGAAAGTTACTTATACAAATATAAAAAAATAGACCTAATAAAATTAATATCATATAATTACATGAATTAAAATACTTTATTATAATTGCTTATGCGAGCTAAAATAAGATATTAAAAAACAAATATGATCTAACGTATCGTCGTCTAATCTCGATCTTATTATGGTATTTATATGTTGAGCAGCTGAAAAAGCTCTTTCCGACTCCGCACTTGTTGACGGTATTATTAATAAATGTTTATATGCAAATTTTAGATGTATCCCTTTAACGCCGTGTTCTTGAAAAAATTGTAGTTCTTTTTTCAGTTTTTGCCATATCCCCAGACGAGCTGGGAACTTTGGTCATTGCTTTATTTATAATGTGGCCTAATTTGTTTTTAAATGAAAGATCCGCAGTATTCACGGAGGAGAAAGATGTACTAGGCGTATCCTCATCTTCAAGATTAACATATTCGATGTCTGCATCATACCTTTATCTCCTAGGCGTTTTATTAGTGGAATTAATATTTTTGTTATAGAACCCTTTAAAATTTTTGGACTTGAATTTGTATCTGTTTCATTAAGTGAAGCGTTATGTATATATTGCAAAACTTGGGATAGGTTAGAGCATTTACTATTTCTCTGCTTATTTTACTGTTTTGCGTAATAAGCGTATCAATCATAAATTTGAACGTCGCGTCGGCCACAAGAAGATTAGCATCTTTTCTGCATAGGGCATCGACGCCTAATTTAACAGGTGGTAGTGCGTCAATAACTTCTGAAATTAAAGAATAATCTTCTTTGGAAAAAAACTATTATTAATTTCAAATCAATTAATGCCTTTTGAACACAATACCTAAATAAGCTAATAGGTAAAATCTTTCCAACATAGTGAATAAGCTATTCCATCGCGTGATGACATCCAACTGCAAATTCAATTTCTTTCCGAATTCTTGTTTTACATATTTCTGTAAATACTAATCATTTTTTGTTGGAGATCTTCTAAAAATTCTACTAACACTTCTATTTTTTACTAGTGGGGATAAATTAGCGTAATTAAATTTTATTTCAGTGTCGACGGATCCTATACCTATACCATCATCTCCATCTGCGTTCTTTTAATTTTTTTCATTGCCAGTTTCTAGGTCATCATCATCTTCTACATCACTATCACAATCGCTGTATAGAGAATTCGCTTGGTCTATTTTCAGTATTATCAATCATTAAACTGGGGTTGTTTTCGTAAAGGACATCCCTAACAGCTAGGTGAATGCCATGTGAAAAACATTACTGATGGTCAACTTCACTCAAATGACCGAGTTTTACCATAACTGACATTTCATTTCTTTTGTACATTTTTTACCTTAAGTTTAATTAATTTACAACTTTAATAACTACATTAATTTAAAACTAAATGAATAATAATGCCAAACAGAATTCACTACGCTCCCTTTTCTATGTTCTTGAAATATACCCCAGTAGAAATACATCTGAGCTGGAGATGATTTTAATGCAAGCTAAATATTTGAAGTGTAGCTTATATTAAATAATGTTGAGCCCACGTTCAAAACGTGCGATTAATATGAGCTGACTATGAGACGATTCATATTAGATTCACATGAATTTTCCATATTGCTAAATGTGGGATAATTATGAGCTATATATGATATGTTTTACATATGATTTTTCCATATTGCTGAATGTGGGATATATATGAGAAACTGAATATGAGTTTTACATGGTTTATTCATATTGCTAAATATAAGCTGTATATGAGAATAACAATATATGCGTTTTATATGATTTTTAGAGGGTCTTAGAATATAACACAAGCGCGGGCTTTGCCAATAGAAGTGTCAACTTAGTGAGCTATTTGAGGTTATATTTCTTTATTTATATTTCATATTACATAATATATATATATATATATATATATATATATATATTCTTCAATCATATTTCAATATGAATCGTAAATCGAGGTTTGCTAAATCAATGGCTATCAAGAGGCATAGAGACGCTATGCTATCGTTTGGAAAAGATAGTTCTAAACTTACGAATGACCTTCTTGGTTGCAATTCTGCCGCGAAACCCATTTGTAGTGCATCAAATTTAGAAACAAGTGCATTAGAAAAATCTGCAATTGACACAGACTTAATATATGAAAGCAGTGATAGCCGTGATAACAGTGATAACAGTGATAGCAGTGATAGCAGTGTTAATAGTGACTTTTCGGACAGTAATAATGATATTTCATTTCATGATGAGCCAAATCTACCTAATATGCCAAATATTCGACTTGATGATGAGCCAAATCCTATCAGGCAAAACATAGTTGACGAAATTCGATCATGGGCTATTAATTTCAAGGTGAATCATCAACAACTAAATCATTTGTTGCCAATTTTAAAAAAATATGGGTTAAATGACTTGCCATCATCAGCTAAAACTTTATTGAAAACACCCCAACATATACCAATATCAAAGATGATGAGTATTCGTGAAACTGAGGGACAATACGTACATTTTGGCATTGAAAAAAATATTATCAATGTTCTGGAAACAATGCCAAATGATACTTCTGTAAATAATCATATAGAGTTAATGATTAATATTGATGGTCTTCCATCACATAAAAGTACCTCCAAACAGTTTTGGCCTATATTAGGAGCCATATTTTTAAAAAATTGTAAAATAAATCCTTTTCCTATAGGTATTTTTTATGGTGATAGTAAGCCTAAGGTTGTTGGAACTTATTTAACACAATTTATATATGATATAAATCACATATATACTAATAGCATCAATTACCAAAATAAGCTTTTCACCATTAAAATTAATAAAATTTGTTGTGACGCTCCAGCAACAGCTTTTATTAAATGCATCATAGGCCATACAGGTTATTATGGTTGTGAACGGTGTGCTGAAAAAGGAGTGTATTCTAACAGAAAAGTTGTATACACTTCTTTAAATGCAGAACTAAGGACACATGATTCATTTATAAAATGCGCCAATACAAAACGCCATGCTAGTATCTCACCACTTTTGAAAATTAACGGCCTGAATATAATACATGATATTCCTTTAGATTAAATGCATATGGCATGTTTGGGAGTGATGAAGAGATTATTAAATACATGGGTAAGAAATAGGAGTCTACCATGTGCTTTAAGCCATGCATTTA